CTTCAAAATGGCCGCCATGGTCAACCACCCATCTTGAAGAGTTTGTCCCCTCATATATACTGATGTGCCTCAAACAGGACGTTCATATCACCAACCACTCCCGTTTTACTCAGGTGCATCCGGCCTGTAGGTTACAGAGCAAGCTGCTGGTCTGAGATGAGCGTACCACAGGAGCCGCGTGTGTTGGTTGAGGTGTTGATGTTCTCTGCTGCGTTGATATTCACGAGGTTGTGTCCTCTCTGTGCTTCTCCAGGTGTGGATAAAGAGAACATCCAGCTGTCTCCCAGCTCAGCTCTGTCCAGTGGGGGGCGCACTCGCCACGGCTCTGCCAGTCAGGTGCAGAAGCAACGCAGTGCTGGCAGCTTCAAGAGACCCAGTATCAAGAAAATTGTCTGATTCAGCCACTCCTACCCTCGTCCAGAGGAAACCCAACCTGCCAGGTCTCATGCTGCACCCTGCATCCCTTCACCTTTTACTTTCTCGTACCTAGTGGTTGCTTTGAGGTTGCCAGTAGGAGGATTTGTGATCTTGTGTTGAGGAATCTCACCAAGGACGGACACAAACGGAGCTGCTGGAGAAGTTTTTTATCTCTGATTTTAGACGGCACAAGTTGTTGAAGACACGCCAGTGGGTTGAGGACCAGGGTCTTTCTCTCTGGACGGTGACTTTGACCTGCTTTGTGTCTTCTGAGAGATGGACAACGTGACAGGACCGAAACTCTAGATCTGCTCGGACACCTCAGCCCCCCCCCCCCCCCCCCGTCCTGTACATATTTGATATAGACAGATGTAAAATATCTAGTCCTTTGTGTTAATTTTGGTGTTGCTGTTTTTTCCATGGTGTGCCTTTGTCAGGGTTTTGGATATGTACAATGTGTAAAGTAAAAGCTGGGAACAACGGACAAGTACTGATGTAGGAGGGGAGTTGTTCATATTATCACAAACATCTACCAGATTCTGTCCTGACCTGCCTCTGACTGTGGTAAACACACAGCTGACTCTATACCCCAATGCCTAAACGTGTTTGTCCTGCCTAAGTAAGTAAATCTTCCTCTGCTCTAAAACTTTATCCTCTCGGATCACAAAACACTAGAGAGCAAATTAATACTGTAAATAGCCACAAGCGTTTGGGTTTCTTGTTCTCCTGTGTGTTTTACTCGTGTTTGCATCGATAGGCTAACCGTCACACGAAAAGGTGTAACAGGCAATAATCCTGAACTCCCAGGCTCGTTTCACCGCAGAAACATCTCGAAGTCACCTCAGATCTCCTTCTGAGTTTCACTTCACCGAGTCTTCAAAAATATTTTAGTATTAGTTTCAGCTTCACCCCAGACAACCACGGACCTGAGTTCTGATCACCAACAGAACCTCTTCTTACACGACAGCTAGCATGCTCCATCATTCTTTCTGCACAGACTACAGATGTTTCCTTCTACACTGCATTGGGCCCATCATATGAATGCAACGGTAGCATGGCCACCCTAAAGTGTAGAAACTGGTCAGATTCTGGATTCCAGCTGTTCTAGTCCAGTCCTAAACATTCCCACAGCTTCACACACAAAGCTACCATTTTTCAGCTAGTTTAATGTGGTGTCATCTGAAGGCGTCACCGCTCCTCACACCTTTAGGCTCTGTTGGGTCGCTTCCGGTGATGAACACGTAGGACTTCACATCATCTCAAAGTGTGTGAGGTCCACAGATGTCAGCAGTCAGAAACCAGTATGGCTGGGATGTTGGGAGGACAGTTTGGGCTGTTTGTATTTCTGTGCTGCTAATGCTGTGTGACGCTAGCAGCTGAAGGTGCTGCTGGGTAGGTCACAGGAGATCAAACTGCTTAAAATGCCTACTTTGGGCTCCAATCATCACCATTTACAGTTTGTTATTGTCAGGATCCTGTGTGCGGACCCACGCTGTCATTTTCCAGATGTGCATCTAAAACAATGAAAATAGGCTTGTAAACCTTTGTCTTCTACTGCACATTTAGTGGTTTTTAAAGTGGGTCTCTGGTGGAATGGGTCTTGAAATGGACCTACTTTGGTTTTAAGAGACTGAGTTAAATGTTAAAACTCCACATCACGTCATCTTAGACTCACACTGTCCTGGATTTCCTGATGTGAGTTAGACTGTAGACCTTTCCAGAACCCCAGAGACAAGTGTTTGAATTGCACTAATTTAAGAACAGTCATTGGTTCATAAAGATGAGAAATCTCAAAATGTGGCATGTTTTATTTGATGTTTATGCAAAATCTTATGTCTGTTGAGTATTAGTCTGAGTTTTGTTTTTAATGCAGTATGTGTGGCAATTGTAAATATTTTGTCTACAATTTGAGATGGTATATTTACTATACTGTACATACCTGTGATATTGTATCATTTTGTTTTTGTAAAGCAGTTAGTTTCTGTATCATAATACATAAATGGAACTATTCCAGTAATAAAATGTTTGGCTCTTCAGCACCTGACCCAACATGCAGTGTTCAGTCCAGATTAATCAAAGTAAGCTTGTGATGACACTGTACCACAGTATAACTGTTTTAAATGCAATGCACTGAGGCAAACACACATCCAGGAGCTCCTCAGGGATGTGTAGTCAGTCCTTCACGTCTCTTACAGGAATTCTACTTTTGGGGTGTGCATGGCAGAGGAATAGCAGGTTTGTGCCCTGCCCAGTCTGTCTCAGTTGTTACAAAACCACAAAGCCACTCAAGGCATGCTCAAGCGTGGTCCTTGTGACAATCCTTGACCGCCTCTCCGAATCCTTGGAAGCGTCACTGTCAGGCATGGGAATAAGGGACCCCTGATCATCTGCAGTTGGCCATCTGGCCAACCTCCACCTCTTCCTTTAATAGTATCAAGCTTCTACAAGCAAGCATTGGATTTTGGGAAGTTGCTTAGCTCGTTGTGTTGTGGAATAACAGGGTGGACAACTGGAAGTCTTTATTTAAATCTGAATGGTGTAATGATGTGTGCTTTATGACTTGACAGACAAAATGATATGTCAATATATATAAAGCACTTTAAAACAAAGTGCTGTACAGCAGAGGTCAGGATAATAGTAAAACACAGCAAACAGGAAGTTTTAGAAGGAATAAAAGCCCGAAGATTAAAGTCAGAATGAAAGCCAGTAAAATAACAGCATGTGTCTGGTTCTACTCTCCAGGAGCCTAAAAGCTCTCAGGCTCAGAAGCATAGCTGCCTTTGCTTTTTTGTTCTTCCATCTTCGAACAGCCACAGTGACTTTGTAAAATTAAACAGGATAAATGTTTTCTGTAATGCATAAACAAACGTTTGTAAAGCAGCACCCATACATTTTCTAAACTTTATTCAATATATTATGCAATTTTCAACATGACGTACTTGCCTAAGCCTTCATGGACAACATAACATTACGAGATAAAACTTGTAATAATTGATTACTGATCAGTTGATTTAAACAAGTAATGCACAATACAATCAAATACAAATCTTTCAAAATTCTTTATTGTTTAATTTGAAATATGTCTAAAAAGGAATGAAAATTTCTAAGTTACTCAAAGTATTTTAAGTCACCCCCAAATCAACTTTTGTACTGTTAAACTGAGTGTTTTATTGTGTTGACGCGTGTTTTCATTTTCTGACATTTTAGTGCATCTCATTTAAAATGTAATAATTGTCATTGTACCCTCTTCAGGTTAAACTACAGTGAATTTGGATGTAAGGTAGCTCTGCTGGCAATGTATGACGTGGCTGCACTGCAATGCAGCAGAGTTGGCCACGCCTCCAGCTGGCTCAGCCAATCACGAGCCAGTACGAAATGGTACAGCTTAAAGGCCCTGTCCACACGTAGCCAGGGCCTGTCGCCCACACGAAAACGGAGTTTTTTCACACGAAAACGGATCTTTTTAAAAACTCCGGCCAAAGTGAAGATCTGCGTTTTCTCCGTTTTGGGTGTCTGCGTGTGGACGGACAAAACCGGAGTTTTAAGGTCCGCAACGTCACTTTCTGCGACAAAAAAATGCTGACATCACGTGTGCGACCTGTGTTTACACTAGCCGACAGCATGGATGCCCTCAGAGCTGCGCTCGCTTTATCAATCGTCCAAGCGCTTTCTGCTTGTTTGTGTTTGCAAGAGGAATTACTGCTCCTTGCGGAAGACCACAGACGAAGGACGAGGTTAAGAACGGGGGAAGTACTGCCGCCTACAGGTCTGGCATGTCCTTAACAACGTATTTATCCGGGTACGTGTGGACAGAGTTTTTTTTTTAAACGAGGTGGTGTGGATGCAAGTTTTTGGAGGGGCGGATATTCGTTTTTTAAAAACCCCGGCTACGCGTGGACTAGGCCAAAGACTCTCTCCTTTACAAAAAAACATTCTCCTGCCTTTCTAGTGAAGGAGCTGGACACAATTCCTACAATGTGCTACAGTTCTGTGCTCTTCCGACTGAGTGGGGTGTGTGTGTGTGTTGTGTGTGTGTGTGCGCACGTATTTGTGAGTGCTTGTTAACCCATTCACTGCCAGCCGTTTCCTGATCGGTAAAGCCCTTCGCTGCCAGCGTTTCTCGCTTTTTACTGTTTTTTAAGAGTCACAGAACGCCAGGATGATGTCGACGCCAAAACAACCAAAACAAAGTGGAGACTCACCTCTTACATCAGGAAGAATCTGCGCAAAATCCATTCTTTCATAATCCATTGTTGAATTGTGATCGGCAGAAGCTTTTCCGGTAAGCGCCTCACTTTTTTTTTTTTTTACAGGAACGGCCCAAAACGATCTCCTAACACGTGGATTTTCTGCTTCCTGACCACGTGACGTATGCCGATAAAGATCGGCTTCAGAGCTGAGATGTTTGTTCTCATAGTGCGGGGGCTCGTTCCGTTGCCCATACCATGCTAATGACGACTTTAGTTGTCATTGGCAGCGAATGGGTCATCTATCTAATGGAAAAATTCAGAGTACACACAGGGAGGGGATATGCTCTCTGTCCGTCAGGCAACATTTCCTTTATGGCACATTTTTCAAACAATGTGGGTGGAGTAAGACTCTGGTAGGGGGGTGACTTGATCTTTAACAAATCAGAAACCCATTTCCATTCTGTGTGGACTCTAGTGCATTTCAGTGAGTGGTTTCTGTCTTGTGTGGATTAACTTGTGTCTGTTTAAACATGTATGGTGACTAAATCTGTCCACAAAAATCACATGCACAAGGTTTCTGTCCTGTGTGGATTCTCATGTGTTTAAAATAGTCTGCTGACTAAACCGCTGTCCACAGAAGTCACAAGTAAATGGTTTTTCTCCGGTGTGGATCCTCGTGTGTGTTTAGGTGTGTTCTTTGGCTAAATCTTAGTCCACAAACATCACAGGTGAAAGGTTTTTGTCCCGTGTGTAGCCTGATGTGTGTTCAAAGTCGTCTTATGACTGAATCCTAGTCCACAAAAGTCACATTCAAACTGTTTCTCTCCAGTGAGGACTCGCATATGGGCCTTTAAATTTGTCTTTTGGCTAAATCTTTGTCCACAAAGCTCACAGGAGAATGGTTTGTCTCCCGTGTGGGTTCTCATGTGTGTGTTTAAATTAGCTTTTTGGCTGAATGTTTGTCCACAGACGTCACAAGCAAATGGTTCTTGCCCTGTGTGAGTTCTCATGTGTGTGTTTAACGTTATCTTTTGGCTAAATCTTTGTCCACACACACCACAGTCAAACAGGTTGTGTCTGGTGTGGGTTCTCATGTGTGTGTTTAGATTAGATTTTCTGTTAAATATTTGATAACATTCACCACAACTAAAGGTCTGGACTTTACTGCGTAAGTCTGCGTTTGAAGACACTATTGTTGAATGACTTGTCATGTGTATCTGAAGAGATCGCCTGAGGAGAAATCGTTCCCCACACTCAGTGCAGCTGAAAGCATTTACAACATCAACACCTGATTCAGAGGACCTGCACTTCTTCATGTCCTTGTTACCGTCTTCAGTTTCTGTCTCACCCCGGCTTTCCACCGGAGCCGTCAGCAGCGCGAGTCGGACGCGTCTCAGGAGCAGCATGTCGCGGCCTTTATGCGCCGGTTCTATTTTCTACGCGCGACGCCTCTGAAACGGGTCAAGTTCGACATTTTTGGGGAAGGAAAGACAGGAAATCGAACGCGGAAACGGAGCGAAACTCCCGAGATTTTCAGAATAAAGAACGTACTGCCGTCCGGTTGCTTTACTTTAAAAAAGGTTACTAACTGTGCGTCCCCGTGAGAAGTTATCACCTAGCTAGCGGTCTCCTTTGTTTTTCAGGTCCGTATTGGCGATTATAAGACGGACAGAACATAAAACACAAACCATGTTGTAGTTTTCTCCTGCTTGTTGTTGTGTTTACTGACGAAGTCACTCGTGTGACTTCGTGCTCGGTCGGTGACAGCTGCTCCCCTGCTGCTTCGCGTCTCGTGGGAAGGGCCAAGCAGCAGCTTACGCGAGCAAGACGTGCTGCTGCAGTAACGTGCTGCTGACGGCTCCCGTGGAAAGCCGGGGTCAGACTTTGACAACGGCTTTAGCTGAGGGTTACAACTGTTCCCATTCTGGTCATCTTGGTTATCCTCAATGACTTCAGTCTCTGAAGAGTTGGAAGCATCTTCATGTGGTCTTTGATCTTGGTTTCTGGTACGGTCTGCTCTTCTAACGTCCTCCCCACCAGTTGCTACTCTCATCTGACCACTGGTTGGGAGACCTCCATTTTCAAGTTGGTGCTGAAGTTGGTGTTTTCATCTTTCTTTCTCTGAAAAGAAACTGCAGTGAATGAAATCTTGTTGACATCAGCCTCAGTTGTCCTACTGAGCTGCTGCTCCTGGTCCACACCAGGCCCCCTTTCTTCAGGATCCTCTTCTTTAATCAGCACCATCTGCACATCTCCAGGGATCTCTGAAAGATCTGAACATACAGAAAAACATGCACTTTGAAGTCTAACCCTAAACTAAGTTCACTTATTGTACCACATCTAATGCTGTGTAACGTCCAGGAATGGTCAGTTTTCACCTACAGATTGACCTACGTGCCACCAACTCTCCAGTCCACATATGTCACCAGGCACACAGGTTGGAACTAGAATGTCCACAAGTGTTTTAATGCTGGTCTGCTAAAACCGAGATCCTTCTGACTGGCTTCCAGAAAGTGGAAAAACAATGAGGTTGGTTCCTTTTGGTCAGTGAAAGAAAACCCACAACTGTCACAGAAATAACTTGAATCTGACAAAAGTAATAATAAATAAAAATTCTATGAAATTTAACCAATGGAGGTCAGACAGTCTTTTTCAACCATGCTTCAACTGACTTATTAAAAAAAGGGAACTCATGGAACAGGCCTGAACAAAAATGGCAGTACCTCTAGAAAAGACTTAAAATAATGTGACCAAAGGGGCGTCTTAATTCAAGGTGTGTCCACTAATTAGCATCACGGGTGTCTACAATCTTGTAATTGTGGGCTCCAGGTAGTCACTGTGTTGTTTGGTCACATGGTG